AAATTAATGATTTTGTTTGGCATTTGGTGGACGGCAACTAGGAGGAAATAGAGGTTCTTTGATCGTATTTCTGGTGTGAAAGATTTGACCCCAAGTAGAGGGCCCGTAGACAGCCCCTTCTGATTTTATTCCCGAGGGACTTGGCTTAGAGGAAGGGTTAGATTGGAAGTTAAGCAGCCCGGAGAGGAGGAAGATGAATGTGGGAAGTTGGGGAATATGGGGGTACATGTTGAAGATTGCAAGCGATGCAAACATATTTGTTTTTATGAATCTTGGAATCTGTAAACAATCAAAGGAAGGGATAATCAGGTGGGGTTCTATTCCTCAATGCTTAAGAGGTAAGCAAATGGGTAGAAATTGGAGACATAATCCTGTTTACGTTTTCTGGCATTTGCACCATCACATATTCAATCGACGCGGATTTAACACTGCATTAAAACGTGGAACTTGAAAGCAAGGGGCGTGGGGGGAAGTGCTTGCTTTAAGTTTTCTTATCAGCAGACTTTAGGCATTTAAGTTCTTTTTTGAAATATGAAAAGTCATGATATGGTTTCTATTTAAGATTTACACCCCATTTATTTAATCATTTTACTATCAATTATTGAGAATCTTACAGTGGAAAAAAAAATCAGAATTGATTAAATGTGCTTAATCACATTTTTCTAGTTCATCTGAACTTAATTGCAGTTTCCTATCAATTATTGAGAATCATACAGTGAAGAAATCCGAATGCATTAAACGTGTCTAATCTGTTGAACTCATAGAAATTCACCTTCCACCGGCTGCGGAATCAGGTGCTTTCCTTAGCCTTCACATACAGGAAATTTGGGTCAGGTTTGATAAAGCATTCCATTTTCAAGTTAAAACCACAAGCAAAATGTAATACGTTCTAATGAGATGTAGCTTCGTAATATGCATAAATAGAGTTGTTGAACAACGAAAAGGCATTGATATTATAGTTTGAGTTTTTTAAGTAAATTAATTCATGTAATTTAATATTGCTAGTAGTATTATTTATAGTATAAAGAGATATCTCAATATTTGATTTAATAATAAATACATGCATTTTTCATAAAACATTATTCCAGTCTTTTTTCTCAAATAGCAATACTTCATAGATAGACAGAATAATATTTTAAAAATTTTTTAAATTAT